ATAAAGATTGATATCCCAGGCATTAGTGAGCTGAAATGGACTGGTTTTGGCCATTTTGAATCAGACAACCATAAGATCTACTATGTCAGGAATGACAAATCGAAGAGGAATGTTGTGGCATTCATCACAAAGCATGTTTCAAAATCTGTCCTGAAGTACAGTGCTGTCAGTGATAGGATAACACCCCTACACCTACAAGAAAGACCCATTAATATGACTATTATTCAAATTTATGCACCAACCACCAACGCCAAAGATGAGGAAATTGAAGATTTTTCTCAACTTCTGCAGTCTGAAATTGACCGAACATGGGAGCTCTGGTAGCACAGTGCCTAAAGCACGTGACTGCTAACCAGAAGGCTGGTGGTTCAAACCCACCAGCCATTCCTCAGAAGGAAGATGGGGCAATCTGCTTCCGTAGTGATACTGCCTCGGAAACCCAAGGGGGGGTTGCTATGAGTCGGGTCCAACTCGGTGGCATATAACAACAACAACATGCAGTCAGGATGTGTTAATTATCACTGGTGACTGGAATGCAAAAGTTGGAAACAAGGAAGAATCACCAGTAGTTGGAAAATTTGCCCTTGGTGACAGAAATAATGCTGGAAATCACATGGTAGAATTTTGCAAGACCAGCAAAGGCTTATTCATTGCAAATACCTTTTTTCAACAACACAAACGGCAGCTGTACACACGGACTTCGCCAGATGGAATACACAGGAATCAAACTGACTACATCTGTGGCAAGAGGTGATGGAAAAGCTCAATATCTTCATCCAAAACAAGGTCAGGAGCTGATTGTGGAACAAACCATCAACTGCTCATATGCACGTTCAAGTTGAAGTTAAAGACAATTAAAACAAGTCCACAAGAGCCAAAATTTGATCTTCAATATATCCCTCCTGTTTAGAGACCATCTAAACAATAGATTTGATGCACTGAACACCCATGACCAAAAACCAGAATTGTGGGATGACATCTAGATCATCATCCATGAAGAAAGCAAGATGTCACTAAAAAGACAAGAAAAGAAGAGAAGACCAAAAATGGATGACAAAGAGACTCTGAAACTTGCCCTTGAGTGGAGAGTAGCTAAAGCCAATGGAAGAAATGACAAGATAAAAGAGCTGAACAGAAGATTTCAAAGAGCAGCTCGAGCAGACAAAACCAGTTACTATAATGAAATGTGCAAAGACCTGGAGTTAGAAAAACAAAAGGGAAGAACACGCTCAGCATTTCTCAAGCTGAAAGAACTAAAGAAAAAATGTAAGCCTCGAGTTGCAATATTGAAAGATTCTATGGGCAAAATATTGAATGATGCAGGAAACATCAAAAGAAGATGGAAGGAATACACAGGGTCACTGTACCAAAAAGAACTGGTCAATCTTCATCCATTTCAGGAGGTGGCATATGATCTAGAACCAATGGTATTGAAGGAAGAAGTCAAAGCTGCACTGAAGCAAATTGGTGAAGAACAAGGCTCCAGGAATTGAAGGAATACCCACTGAGATATTTCAACAAACAGATGCCTCACTGCAGGCACTCACTTGGTTATGCTAAGAGATTTGGAAGACAGCTACCTGGCCAACTGACTGGAAGAGATCCATATTTGTACATTTTCCAAAGAAAGGTGATCCCACAGAATGTGGAAATTATCCAACAATATCATTAATATCACACACAAATAAGATCTTACTGAAGATAATTCAAAAACAGTTGCAGCAGTATATTGACAGAGAACTCCAGAGGTGCAAGCTGGATTCAGAAGAGGATGTGGAACAAGGAATATCATAGGTGATGTCAGATGGATCTTGGCTCAAGGCAAAGAATACCAGAAAGATGTTTACTTGTGTTATATTGACTATGCAAAGGCATTTGATTGTGTGGCTCATGACAAATTATGGATAACACTGAAAAGAATAGGAATTCCCAAACACTTGATTCTACCCATGGGGAACCTGTATATTGACCAGAAGGCTGTCGTTCTGACAGAACAAGGGGACACTGCATGGTTTAAAATTAAGAAGGGAGTGCATCAGGGTTGTATCCTTTCCCCATACTTGTTCAGTCTATATGCTGAGCAAATAATATGAGAAGCTGGACTATATGAAGAAAAATGCATCAGGATTGGAGGAAGAATCATTAACAACCTGAGATATGCTGATGGCACATCTTTGCTTGCTGAAAGTGAGGATGACTTGAGGCACTTACTGATGAAGGTTGAAGACTACAGTCTGCAGTATGGATTACATCTCAGTATAAAGAAGACAAAAGTCCTCACAACTGGACCGGTAAGCAGCATCACGATAAATGGAGAAAAGCTTGAGGTTGTCAAAGAATTCATGTTGCTTGGTTCAACGATCTATGCCAATGGAAGCAGCAGTCAGGACATTAGACGATGCATAGCACTGGGCAGGTCGGCTGTGAAGGAACTCTTTCAAGTGCTGAGGAGCAAGGATGTCTCCTTGAGGACTAAGATGCGCCTGACACAAGCCATGGTATTTTCAGTCTCCTCGTATGCTTGTGAGAGCTGGATAATGAATAGTAAGACCGAAGAAGAGTTAATGATTTTGAGTTGTGGTGCTGGTGAAGAATGCTTAAAGTACCATGGCCTGCTAAAAGAACTAACGGATCTGTCCTGGAGGAAGTGCACCCGAAATGCTCCTTGGAAGTGAGAATGGCCAGACTTTGTCTCACCTACTTTGGTCATGTTGTCAGAAGGGACAGTTCCCTGGAGAAGGATGTCATGCTTGGCAAGGTGGAGGGTCGACGAAAGAGGGAAGGCCTTCAACAAGATGGATTGACATGGTGGCTGTGACTATGGGCTCAGTTATAGCAAGGATCATGGAGCTGGCATGGGATTGGGCAGTGTTTTTTTCTGCTGTGCATGGGGTCGCTATGAGTCGGAACGACTCGACAGCACTTAACAAGATCAATTGCCCTGGTTAGAATCTCCAGTATAATATTGCATACAAGTGGCAAGAACAGAAATACTTAAATACTTGTCTTATCCTCATCTTCGGGGAAAATCATCCAGTGTTTCACCCATTAAGTATGATGTTAGCTGTGGGTTTTTCATAGGTACTATTTATTAGGTTGAGGAAGTTTCCTTCTAGCTTTTTTTTTAGTGTTTTTTATCATGATTTTTTCACATGTTCTTTTCTGAACCTATTGAGATGATCATTTGATTCTGTTTTTTGTTCTGTTAATAAGCTGTTTTCATTAATTGATTTTTGATGTTAAACCAATCTTCTATTGTCTGGATAAGAAGCTCTGGTAGCTTAGTGCCTAAGGCACTTGACTGCTAACCAGAAGGCTAGCGGTTCAAACCCACCAGCCAGTCCTCGGAAGGAAGATGGGGCAATCTACTTCCATAGTGATACTGCCTCGGAAGCCCAAGGAGGGGTCGCTATGAGTCGGGTCTGACTCGATGGCACATAACAACAACAACAACATTGTCTGGATAAATCACACTTAATCATGGTATATAATTCTTTTATATTTTTGTTGAATTCTGTTTACACCTATTGAGATAAGGATTTTTGTGTCCATATTCATAAGAGATATTGGTCTGTTCTTGTTTTCTTTTCTTTTGGGAAGTTGTATTTGTCTTGTGAGAAGTGATGTCTTTGTTTTGGTTTTGGTATCAGGGCAGCACTAGCTTCATAAAATGAGCTGGGAAGTATTCCCTCCCTTTCTATTTTTCAGAAGCATTTCTGAATGTCTTAGTTTGCTACTGCTGTTATGACAGAAATACCACAAGTACATGGCTTAACAAACAAGAATGTATTCTCTTACAGTTTAGGAAGCTAGAAGTTCAAATTGAGAGTACTGGCTGTAGGGGCTGGGTGAAGGCCCCTTGACCTTGGGCTTCAGCTTTGCCTCTTATGCCAGGCCCACCAAAACTTAGAGGTGTCTTCTAACTCAAACAGCTGCTGGCTGCTGCGGCTGATGAACCCAAGGTCAGCAGGTAAAATGGCACAATCCCAAGATCTATACACAACACAGCAAGCCGCTGATGCAAGTCCAGAACTGGAGACGAAGCCTCGGCCATATGCAGAACCCAGATGTGCCAAAAAACTAGAAACCTTCTTCAAAGCCTCCCCACCCTGAGGGCAACTAATTTGCTGCTCACAGCATACTCCAGTGTGGAGGTGATTATAGTCTAATCATGGGGAGTAACTGGCACTCAAAACCCCGGCCCGGCCACATTGACTATCACACTGAAGGATTAGTATTCTTTTTTGAGTATTTTCACAGTGAAAAATTTAATGGTAAAGCCACTGGACTTTTCTTTGTGGGTAGTTTCTACATTAGTGATTCAGTTTCTACTTGTTATAGCTCTATTTAGATAGTCTGTTTATTTGTGAGTCAGTTTTGGTAGTTTGTGTCTTTCTAAGAATTTGTCCATTTCATATAAGTTATCTAACTTGGTTTACAGCTTTTCATAGTATTCTTTATAATCTTTTTTATTTCTGTATCATCAGAGGTAAGGTCCCTTCTTTCATTCTGATTCTAGTAATTTGATTCTTCTCTCTTTACTGTAGTTCCTGGTATTATACAGCTGTCCTTTTAAATGGCTTAAGATTTTTATAGGCATAAGTAGATCTTAGACATTTTTCCCCAGGTTGCTGTACAATTAAAAGGAACGCCTCCTTGTTTTAGTTTACATTTCCTTCAAAGGGGACCATTTAAAAGTAACTCCATATTAAAGAAAATTTTCCATATTAATTTATTTTCCTGTTATCGATTGAAGTCTTTATGGTAGTTAAGTGTTCTCCTCCAGAATTGGATACAGATATGAGGGAGGAATGTGTAAGAATTGACAACTGCAAACTCAAGGGATTCCGTAATTTAGATGTCACCAGAGATGCCCACTAAGAGATAAGTGAGGACCAAAACAAGTGAAAGAATAAGTGCAAACTGTAACACAATTTTGTTAAACTATTTACATCACTACTCTTTTTAAATTATACACATATTTGTGTTTTTCGTTACAGGTATACTCTGGAAATGATCAAACTAGTACCACATAATGAAAGTGCATGGAACTATTTGAAAGGGTAAGAGGTTGTTTTTGCTTGTTTTATATATTAAAGAGAAACAAAGAACAAGCTTTATGTAGTGGCAGTATTGTAGCCATTGAGGTTTATCCGAGGCAGGATTACTGCTAATTGAAAAGTTTTCCCAGTGGTGGAGGAGGAAAAGGGAGGGAACATGGCAAAAATTTTTTTACAAAACGAAAAATAAATAAAAAGAAAATTTTTCCCAGTGTCCTGCTGTGATGACTTGAATATAGTCGGCATTGGCCATTTTTGATGGTCTCTACAGAGATTGAATAATTTGGTCTAAAAAGTAAGTTTTATTCACTCAGATCACAAAAAAAGAAAAAAGCTAATATGATACATAATAGAATATGTTGCATAATCTTTCAAAAAAGATACTGAAGATTTTTTCTAGTTTTTTGGACCTAACCGCAGAAGTACAACCATGTTGTGTTAACTCCCAACAACAGTGTTCTCTGCCCTTCTCTCCTCTCCACCTCCCAGACATACAGCACAGTTTTTATAGCAGTCCATGAGTAAATACTAATACAGTTTTAATTGTATTTATGAATCTGTAGGCTGTATGTCAAAGAAAATACCCACTCTTAGTTTCTTTATAGCTCAGAAACACAGTAAGGCAAGGTAGACAGATTACAAGCAGATTATGCAGGCAAATAGCTAACTTTTCTGTTTTCCTTTCTAGAAATCTATTGCAAGTCTCCTTAAATAGAAAAGACTTCACTTGCCTGAATCCTGACACACCCAGGCTCTTTGTCAAATATAGAAGTCTCCCAAAGAAACTAAATTCAAAGAGCACAAAGGATGGAGATATATCAGGGCTTGGCCCTATAGAGTCTGGAGATAAGGAACCATCTCAAGAAATGAGAGAATCTATATTAGCATTTTTCCCCCTCACTGTTTAATTTTGTTTAAAATGATTTATTTGTTGTTGCTTTCATTTTATGCATTGCACAGCTTATGTTACAAATGATTACTTTTATAGTTTTTTTAATCAGTTTTACTTAGTTCTTAATCATTTATGAGAAAATTCACTTCAAATCTAAAATTTCATTTTGTTTCAACCTCATTAATTCATGAAATACTTGTTTCACAACTATTATGTGGAGGGCATAGGTACTTTGTTGAAAAACTCTTCTAGACTTAGCGCTCATTCTCTAATGAGGAATAACCAAAACCAAACCAAACACTACCTTCAAGTGAATTCCAACTCATAGCGACCCTTTCTGGGCTTCTGAGGCAGTAAATCTTTATGAAAGTAGATTGCCCACTACAGTGCTTAATAGTCTATGGGAACAGGGAAGAAGCTAGAGCTTAGGAGTGTGATTGAGTTAGAGTTCACAAAGCAAAAGAATATCTAAAGAGAAACTATTTGGTTGAGTGGTAAAGGAGAAAGCAAGTTCAGTTTAGACATTTTAAAGTGAAACTGACATATATCTAGAGACATCTGGAGGGGAGTTGTCCTACAGGTGTGTAGCTTGAAGGAGTGGTTAGGGCTGAAGGTACAGGTTTGAGAATCATCATTATGTAGGTGGTAGTTGATTCATAAGTGCAGAGGAAAATGGCCAAAGATAGAAGGGAAAAAAGGAAGGAATTTTGGGAAACATGAACATTTGAACAGCAAATGGAGTAATGGCATCATAAAGGAACAAACATCAGAGGAGTACTGAAGACATCAGTTGAGAATGAAATCACAGAAGCCAAGAAAAAAGAGGGAATAGTAATAGTATCACATGCCACTTAGTGGCCAATGCATTTATCCACTAAGAGGTTGATAGTGACTTCCATGGAAGCTATTTCCGTGAAGTTATGAGGACAGAAGGTAGTTTTCAACAGGTGGAGAAGTGGTAGGGAAAGAAAGACCTAGAGATGATAGGTGTCACGATCCTTTTAAAAGTTTGTGAAGAAGGAGAAACCAGTAGGTACTGGGAGGTCCATGGTTAAAGAGGTCTTTTGTTTGGTTTATTATTCTTTTATTATAGGAGAGACAATTATATATAGGGAGGATTAGGGCAAAGAAGGAGAAAAGCCTAAAGTAAGAGAAGGGTTGGGGGTCTAGAGCACAACTGAAAGGTGTTTGACAGAGAGTCCTATTTTTCTAGGATGGCAAGGAAGGATGGGAGAGAATGCACTTAAGTTTATAGTTCAGGGACTGAGTTATTTTGTTTCGCCTTATGAATTGCCAATCTGACCTTGATAACTCCTTTCTCTTCCCATAGAATACTGTACATCATATCACTTACTTTAACTCTATATAATGTCTTCATTCCTTATTAGAAAATGAGCTCCTTAATTGTAAGGACATTTCAAAATGACAGTGCCTACTCAAAAAAAAAAAAAAAAACTCACTGCCATCAAGTCGAACCCAACCCATAGCGACCCCTCCTTGGGTTTCCAAGGCGGTATCACAACAGAAGTAGATTGCCCAACCTTCCTTCCAAGGAGTGGCTTATAGGTTTGAACTGCCAGCCTTCTGGTTAGCAGTCAAATGCCTTAGGCATTACGCCACCAGCGCTCCTAATAGTGCCTAGGTCTAGTAAAGAAGAGATGCAAAATTATTAATTTTTTTAAATTCCAATTTAATTAATCTAGAAAGCATAAGAATTTGGAGGACTTTAGAATTGATAAAGGCTTGTTTCCACACCAAGCTATATCAGAACTACTGACAAAACAGTTTAGAAGTAAAAAGATAAAAAGTGTCATATGCTTACTCTAGCCAGTAATTTGGTGTTTTATTTTTAAATATAGGATGTTTAAAAACATACGATGGTGTCATTATCATACCTAAAAAGATTGAAGATTAATTCCCAAATATAAAAAAATATCTAATGTTGAGATTTCCCTGATTGTCTTATAAATGGATCAGGATCCAGATATTGTCCATATGTTGCACTGGTTGATGAATCTCTTAACATATAAGTTCACCTTTCCCTTTTTCTTTCCCCATTATACATCTGTCCAGTAGAACATTCTGTATGTTTTAGCTTGTGTTTTTAATGGGCACTTTTCCTCATTTAGATCATCAGAAAGAATTAGGAGAGACTTCTGGCCTTTTCTGCATTTACAATGGACCAAAGCCAAAAAAGAGTTCCTAAATTGAGTGGAGATAGATCTCTTCAAAATAAGTCTCCTTTTCTTGTGTTTCAGGGATCTCCCCCAACCCCATTACTTTTCTTCTAAAATCCTCTTCCTCCTCAAAATTGAGGTTTTTTTGTTGTTTTTTTTTTTTTTTAGGATTTTGCAGGATCGTGGACTTTCCAAATATCCCAATCTATTGAATCAATTACTTGATTTACAACCAGGTCACAGTTCTCCCTACCTAATTGCCTTTCTTGTCGATATCTATGAAGACATGCTAGAAAACCAATGTGACAACAAGGAAGACATTCTTAACAAAGCATTAGAGGTAAGCTAGTGGGACTTGGTGCTTTTCCTTTTGGTATCTCAGAATTGGGTCTGCTTGGTGCCACTACAAATCATGCCCCTTTTTAACATCACTCACTCACTCATTCACTCACTCCACTCACTGCCGTCAAGTCAGTCCCGACTCATAGTGACCCCTCTTTGGGTTTTGGAGGCAGTACCACTATGGAAGTAGATTGCATAACCTTCCTTCCGAGGAGTGGCTGGTGGGTTAGAACCGCCAGCCTTCTGCTTAGCAGTCAAATGCCTTAGGCACTATGCTACCAGAGAGCTTTTCAACATAGTTACTTAGAATTCAATGCAGAACTATTTCTACCATTCAGGATACATGTTAAGACAGTATGTGACTAGCAGTGTGTCTGGCTCAACCATGATCTGAGTTAAATTGTATTGTCTCAAAGGCAATCATTTGCTCTAGAGATTGAGTTACACAATTACTATAATGAATTTATATTTTTCCTTTCAGTTATGTGAAATCCTAGCTAAAGAAAAGGACACTATAAGAAAAGAATATTGGAGATACATCGGAAGATCCCTTCAGAGCAAACATAGCACAGAAAGTGATCAGCCAACAAATGCACAGCAATAACACCATCCAGAAGAACTTGATGGAATGCCTTTATTTTTTTAAGGGACTCCAATGAGGAGTTTAAAACTAGAGTGATCATTCCCTTTGCCTGTGTTGGGAATAAAAAATAAAATTTTATTTATTCCCTTTGCACGTAAAATGTGCACTGCACAGGTATTGCTTTTTAACAAGAACTAAGCGCGATGCTCCCTGGATGCTGCTGCTATTCAGACTCACTCTAAATAATATGATTATTTTTAAAGCAGTAATTTGGTGTAGGGGAGTCCTATAAAGGAACTTTTATAGTCTTATCAACATTTAATTTCTTAGCATCATCTCCTCCCTAAACAGCGGTATATGAGTCAGGATTTACAGCAGTAATGATTGCAGGTAGCTTGTATGTGATGGATATGAAGTAACTTAAACGTAGGTTCAATAAGCAGGGAATGCAATTGTTACATTAGAGCTGCTATGCCACACTGACAGTATCTTGCTATCACTGTAACCAACTAATGCCAAAAGAATGGTTTTGTAATAAAAGTATAGATGTATCTAAAAACAATGCTATAGTAGTTTGGTTTTTTTAAATAGCATTTAACTAAATACAAGGGAAATTGTCTCAGCTTAGAAAAGCAATAGAGGAAGAAAATACCGCTTTAAAATTGTAGAAACCAGAAATATGATTGTGCTAAAGGAAATGTTATTAAAATATGAATTGGTCAGAGTTCTTGACTGCAAGCAACAAACCCACTTAGAAGTAATTTAAACTCCAAGGGTTTAATTAAGGGTATAGATAGCTCACAGAATAAATTGGCTGATCTTCCACAAGTGTATCCCTAAACCACACTAATGAACTAGATCATCAAGTTGCTGCTGCCTCTGCCAGGAGCAGGAAACTGCTCAATCTGGAAACCACAGCCCTGGCTGCCAGCTCCAGGATTGTGCCACCGCTGCCACATTCCACGTGAGCACATCTGATTCTCTCCTTGTGCAATTCTATCCAAAATTAAAGGTGCACTTTAGGACATCTGATTGGTAGAACCTAAATGACATCTAACAGCTCTTAACTGCAAAAGAGTATAGAAAATGTTACAGCTTTCCAGTGTCTAGGCATCCTAGAAGGGAGCTGTAGTAATGAGTAGCCATTGTATGCATCACTGCCATGCAGTCACTTAAGAATGTCCTTGATGAACTGGTAATCATGTATTCTATTCTCAACCTATCTTTTCAATATCTTGTGTGATTGAGTGGAAGTATGCATAAAGCAAGCATATCTTTATGGTAGTCTTGAAAAGCACTGTGTGATTGTATAAGCTGTGGGCTGAACAGGGCACTTTTTTATGGAACACCCTTTTTACTTGATAAAACTGGCAAACTGTGGTCGTATAGACTTGAGTAGCTGGATGTATTTTCTTCAGAATGAATAAAATGACACTCATTCAAGGAAAATAACTTTTTAATGATAAAATTTCAGCTTTCAAGGGAAAATTTTGACCTGCCACTGTGACCTTGACAGCTTCCCAATACCTGCATACCTTTCTAATGAGATTGGTGGTGATATTAGTCATGGCAATTTTTTTATATTGTATAATTAAACATGTCAATGGAAGATATGCATAAGGCAGTGAACCAATGTTTTCCAAGTGACCAGTCTGTAATGTTATATCATACACAAATAAATGATCCTGAAGTTCAAGATGAAACAGCACAAAAAGTTTGTTACCACTTGTTGAATTTTCATGCATATCAAAGAATATCCAGGATTTTCTAAGAAAGCTATTAAAATACTCCCAACTATATATCTACAAGAGATTGGATTTTCTTCATGTACTTCAACCAAAACAATATATTACAACAGATTGAATGTGGAACTAGATTTAATCTAGGTATCTGCTGTTAAGTCAGACTAAAGGGATTTGCACAAATGTAAACCAATACCATTTTCCTGATTTATTTAGAAAATGTTTTCATAAAAGATGTTTTAACGTAATGGGTTTGTAGTTTTTTTAATGAATTGATTTTAAAAAAAAGTTAATTTCTCAATTTCAAATACACTAAGTACCAGTAGCTATTCCCATACAAACAAAAGTTGAGGTTAGAAAAGAATAAAACATTTCTGCCCTCAGAGACCTCAATTTTTAGAGAGGCCAACAGTATGCTACTTACCTAAGTGCTCTGAAAAATGCTGTATTGGCAATATGAAGAAATACTATCAGGGAACACCAAAGCAGGAAGGATTCTCAGCCTGATGAAGTCAGGGAACAGTTCACAGAGGAGGACATACTTGACCAGTTACATTCTTTAATCTTAAAAAATCTAGTAATTAGTTGTATCCCAAATATTAAATATTACCAAGGGAATCCAGAACATTTCCCTCTGGAAGTAATGCTAGATAAATCAGTGTTTTTCAAACAGTTGTAACCTTTAATGGGTAATTCAGTCAATGGGTCTTTGCCAGTTTTTTTTATTTCTCTCTTTTTTAATTGTGACATGGGTGAAATTGGTTTTCTATTCAACAGTTCATACACATTTTGTTTGATGACATCGATTGCAATTCCTACAGTATAGCAGCTTTCTTCCCACTTCCTCCCTGTGGTTATCTTTTCCATGGGTCTGTCTATTACAAGGGGTTGGGACCCTGAGGAAGGGTCCTTGCCTTCTACTGACAAAAGAATTGAACAGGAGAGGCAAAATGTCTACAAGAACCAAAGTTCATTAAAGAGAAAGGAGAGGGGAGCAGCTCCCAGGTGAGAGAGGGAGAGGGCATTTTTCCTATGCTAGCCTCCAGTCTCTTGAAACAAAGGAATTCTTAAGGTTTGTGAAAGGTTTTAGGCAAGAAAAGGCATCATTTTTACTCATGAAATAGGCAGCGATTTCAGGGATAAAAATGGGGTTATGAAAATCAGGTATGCATGATACAAAAAAAAAAAAAAAAATGAACTTTGGTAACACAGTGCCTAAGTCATCTGATTACTAATCATAAGGTTAATAGTTCAAACCCACCAGCCACTCCTCAGAAGCAAGACTAGGCAATCTACTAATGTGTGTGCACATTACAGTATTTTTGTGTAGTATGTTATGCCAATTAAGCTTGATGTCCTCCATGATCATGGTCATAAGCCCGCAGGCCCAGCAACTCTCTCCTTCAAAGTGTTTGGCTGTGGCCAAGAAGTTACCCTAACTTTACCCCCTGTTAGCTCTATTATATATATGGACATCTTTATAGGACATCCAAATACGTACTTTAACCAGTCTTTTTTAAAATATGAAATGTAATATTTATTATTTCATTGGGTTCTGTTATTTCCTTTCTTCTACTTGATTTGGTTTTATTTTGCTCTCTTCTAGTTTTATTTAGCGTGGAAGCTTGGATTATTGATTTGAGACCCTTCTTTTCTACTAAGTTGTTAGGTGCCGTAGAGTTGGCTCTGACTCATACATAGCAACCCTGTGTACAACAGAACGAAACACTGCCCAATCGTGCATCTTCCTGACAGTCCTTGCTATGCCTAAGTCCATCATTACAGCCACTGTGTCCCTCGTTGAGGGTCTTCCCCTTTTTCACTGACCCTCCACTTTACCAAGCATGATATCCTCCAGGGAATGGTCCCTTCTAACAGCATAACCGAAGTAGGTAAGACAAAGTCTGGCCATTCTCGCTTCCAAGGAGCATTCGGTGCACTTCTTCCAGGACAGATTTGTTCATTCTTCTGGGAATCCACGGTACTTTCAGTACTCTTCACCAACATCACAACTCAAAAAGCATCAACGCTTCTTCAGTCTTATTACCCAGCTTTCATATGCATACGAGGAGATTGAAAATACCATGAAAAGAGACATCTGTGCTCTTCAGCACTTTAAGATTCAGTCTTTTGCAGCAGATTTGCCCAGTGCAATACGACTTCTGCTTTCCTGACTGCTGCTTCCATTGGTGTTGATTGTGGAATCAAGTAGTAAGAAATTTTTGACAACTTCAGTCTTTTCTCCATTTATCATGATGTTGCTTATTGGTCCAGTTGTGAGGATTTTTGTTTTATTTATGTTGATAGGTAATCCATACTGCAGACTGTAGTCTTTAATCTTCATCAGTAAATCCTTCAAGTCATCTTCACTTTCAGCAAGCAAAGTTGTGTCATCTGCATATCAGAGATTATTAATGATTCTTCCTCCAATCTTGATGCCCCATTCTTCATGTAGTCCAGCTTCTCAGGTTATTTGCTAAGCATGCAGATTGAATAAGTACAGGGAAAGGACACAACCCTGACACATATCCTTCCTGATTTTCAACCATGCAGCATTCCCTTATGTTTGAACAACAGCTTCCTGGTCTCTGTGAAGGTTCCTGAAGAGCAAAATCAAGTGTTCTGATATTCCCATTCTTCTCAATGTTATCCATAAATTGTTACAATCTACACAGTCGGATGCTTTTGCATAGTCAATAAAACACAAGTAAACATTTTTCTGGTATTCTTTGCTTTCAGCCAAGATCCATCTCACATCAGCAATGCTTTCCCTCATTCCATGTCCTCTTCTGAATCCAGCTTGCATTATTGGAAGTACTCTGTTGGCTGGCTGCTGCAATCATTTTTAAATTATCTTCAGCAAAATTTTACTTGAGTGTGGTATTAATGATAGTGTTTGATAATTTCCACATTCTGTTGGATCACTGTTCTTTGGAATGGGTACAAATATGGATCTCTTCCAGTCAGTTGGCCAGGTAGCTGTCTTCCCTATTTTTTGGCATAGACGATTAACTGCCTCCAGCATAGCATCTATTTGTTGAAGCATCTCAATGGGTATTCCATCGATTCCTGGAGCCTTGTTATTCACCAGTTCCTTCAATGAAGCTTTGACTTCTTCAGTACCATTGGTTCTTGATCATATACCATCTCCTGAAATAAATGAACATCGACAAATTCTTTTCGGTATAGTTACTCTGTGTGTTCCTTCCATCTTCTTTTGATGCTTCCTGCATCATTCAATATTTTGCCCGTAGAATCTTTCAATATTGCAACTCAAGACTTGAAGTTTTTCTTTCATTCTTTCAGCTTGAGAAATGCCAAGCATGTTCTTCCCTTTTGGTTTTCTAACTCCAGGTCTTTGCAGATTTCATTATA